CCATGCAATTTGTCCTGACAAGTTCCAGCGCCAGGCGATGGTGAGCACGGTTATGTTGCTGATACCTTACCTGTTCGCGCTTGGCCTATAAATGGGCTTGTATAGCATTACTATGTCGCCAATTTGAATAAATGGCTAACGGACATTCTTAATTCAAACCGCTTAAATTGATGCTCCACTGTGCCTGGAAATAGCCAAGTCCTGGTCTTTATTAGCGCCATTTGCGAAGACAGTTGGTCTTTACCAATCAGGAAATAGAGATAATGACGAACGGAAACGTACCCTCATATGTTACTCCGGAAACGTATCGTGACATTAGGCGGCAAGCTTCACTTGCACAAAGTACAAACTGATGCCGCAGAGCACACCCTTGGCTGCTTCTCGGCCAGCATGTGGAATAGGCTGCATGTGGAACTGGAGAGGCCGGCATATGCATCGCTTTTGTTTTGATTTTTGTTTTCCTTTGTTTTACTCATGTACCGGCTCGCTTTGTAAGCGGTCTGATCGACAATGCATTGCATCTAACACAATCTACTTTGACTGCCGTGTTTTATGGTGTGTGCTTTGGCGTGTATGTTTAAAATGGCTTAACTTACAAGAGTCAGAAATGCTGTCTGATGGAAGGGCCAGTAACTTTGTTCTACCAACAGAGTGCCTTGCGCGGTGTGTGGCAAAGGGGACGATCTCAGACGGGAACTTGTCAGTTCTGATGTAGACAGCGTACAAAAAGTTGCTGAGTGTAGTGAGTTAGTCAAGCTTTGGTAATTGTCGACAGCCATCTACTTCAAGGCTATCGAAACGTCTACCTTAATGAAATTTGGCAAGCAGGCTGTTCACTGAAACAGAATTTGTGTTATGCGCACCGCTTATATTTCTGTTTACGCGCATACTGCCTGTAGTCACAACCCTGCAACAGATCTTTCTCAGAGAGGGACGGGTGAAGGCATTTGAAGAATGTCACTTGCGACGAGCAGAAAAATAGCCAAAACCGGTTGGCGGGCGGAGTATCAGAGGACTACAGCTTCACTTTATAGTCCACGCGTAATTTACTTTAGGTATGGTGCCATAGATGTAGTCAGGCTCGGTAGATTCCATCGAAAAAAATCAAGGATTTCGCAGTTATTTGCAGCTCTTGCAATTTCAGAGTGATCCAGAAAGTGGGTAAATTGTCGCAAAAATAGCATATGTTCACATTGTTACCAATAAGAAGCGCTACGGTCTGAGCGGTTCCATGGGCCAGCAACAGGCTCAAGTCACAGTTTATTATATTTGAGATCGGTTTCGGGAAAGCTGACATTGGCCACTTCTCTGTCGATCACTGGCCACACAAAGCCATCAAACCTATGAGCTTGATGGTTTTGAGAACATTCAACAAGTTGAATTCTGTGCATTTTCCACACCGTGCAGTTTCTCACGTCTTCATCCGCTCTGGTTCCTGAGATCTGATATGCGAACTTAAAAGCCCTCCACAACAGGGGAACCAAAAGTTAGGGCACTAGGCAGCGTAACCATCTGTACACATCGCATCACGCTTTCGCCTATGCGGTTGTCCTCTTTCTCCTCCGTAAAGATATTTGTGTCGTCTCGCTGCGACGCTCGGTTGCCGAGGCCTTGACCCAGTTTTAAACCCTGTGCTTCAGGCTCTGTCTCAAGTTGAAAGCTTTGCGTTTTTCATAATGATCGATAAGGAATGTGACATCGTAGAGATATGAGAGATTTGCATGAACACTCGTGTCATCCGACCGATTTCATGCAAATTTACTAAAAATTAACACGGTATAGTTGTTCAACAGTCAGGCTTCCTAATGCTCACCACCGTATTAACTTGCAATCGGTAGCTGTGGAGTCTTAAAAACGCGACCGCTGGGCCGGGCTAGGCTGATGAAGCTGAATATTGTGTGGTAGTCCATAGAAAACACACTTGGCCAACGGTGCCACTAGTAAGGATTATTTCCTTTCACCTTCTGTTTTCCGAGTAGAGAACAAGCCCAAAAACAGTGTCAAGGCAGGGGAAAAGTTTGATTGTCAGCAATTTTTTGTGACAACATAATTAATTCTGCATCAAGTTTGACTTTCTGTGACAAGATGTTGGTTGTTTTATTTACCGAAGTAGCATTCGCATACGCCTTTAACTTCCCACAAAATTGCTACAGATGATGCTTAGAGTAAGAAAACACATTGTTTTGCAGGTTCCATTTCAGAAGATATGGTAGGATATCGGAATCCCCAAGGAGTCGTTCTGGCCAAAGTTTGTAAAAGTTTGCTGAGTCGATACACAGTGGTGGCTAATTCGATACACGCTGATGCTTTGGAATACAAGCTGATGCCTTTGTTTCACAACAAGATGCAAATTGATTTTCCACTAAAAACAACAGAGGGAGAGAGAGAGGAGAGAGGGTGCTCTGGTGCACAACACTTCCACTCAAGTAATCCTGCGCTTTGTTATGGTAGAATGCAACAGATGGGTGCCACCGGTTTATTGCCAGAGGCTCACATTTGGAGATATTTGGGATGTCAAGCACATGCATACAATGGCAAACTGAGGATGGTTATCCCTCCATTAAAGAGAATTCTCTACATTTTAAGATATTGAAGCAAGCGCGAGAGGTGAATTGAGCTCTCTGATAACTATTGGTATACTTTGTAGTGGAAAACGCTACTCTAGACAACACAATCTATCTTATCAGTCAATATGCTCGTCAATACGTCATCGTTTGAGTTCGTCATCTTCCCTTGCACAACTTCGAGTGGGAGCCAATTAACGGCCGTTATATCTGGAAGCCAGCTCACGAACGCCAGATATGAACAACTCGACAGTTCACTCTTTTCTTGGCTTTGATAACCCCATGACCAGCGGAATGGCAGAAGTTGAATGGCGTTATCATGGCATCATGGATTCCCGGGTGACTTCGAAATAGTCTCCCGAATTAGCCTGCATATCTTCGCGGGCGTGCAGCTTAGAAACTAAAGTGGTTTAGGTCTTAAGAATGGCAGGGCTCTGAACTGCACCGAATGATCTTCAAGATGGCTATTTGAGTTTCAGCCCCCATACAAATGTAGAACACTCCGTTTAAGTATGACATGTTGCGAAGTTTTTTCTCGAGTAATAATGTGATTGGTCATTCTTAAGTCTCATGCTGGAAGGCTTACTGGGTGCAGCGAACTTCATGTGCATTGGAATATAATCAGTTGTGAGCAGAAAATAACCCAAACTTGCATTCACACAAATCGAATTGACAAGTGGTCGTGGTCGTTTTCTGCACGGACACGGAGGGGTTACGTGTTCGAGGATCTTCAGCACACACGACCCACAATGCGGGGCAGCGACGATAACAGCGGTCCACGATTCGGCTCAGCGACGATAACAGTGGCCCCCTATTTGGGGCCACCTCACAACCGTTTCTTGTGTAACGTGTGCCTCAGAAACCTTTTGGGGGGGAATAACGCGTTAAACATAATCTCTTAATCGGAAATCCAGCCCGTGAACGCCTCCAATGTGACTAAAAAGCTGCTGATGGCCGCGATCGGCTACAAACGAGCTGCACCCTCGGACCGGCTCCCATCAGGCCAGTAGGCTCACCCATCGGACCTGTGCTGTGCTACGCGCTAAACCCAACCATTTCCACGCGCAAATGGCGGAAATTTGTAGGTGCGGAACACTTGCAACACCCATCACAAGCTACTTCCAGTTATAGTGTTGGGCAGTGGGAGCGGGTATACACGCCCAGCAGCCTCGGCTCACAATCCCACCCATCTCGTCACAGCGTCAAACCCGTGTTGGGCGGACGCACCGACAGATCTAAGATGCATTGACTATGCCATAAGATATGCCAGTGATGGGGCATGGGTCAGCGGACTGTGGGCGCTGGTCAGCGGACCGTGACATGCTAAGGGCTTGAAACGCCGAAGGACGTAGGCAGAAGAAAGGAGTGCGGCTCGGAACCTCGAACGCAATATTCTCGAGCACACAACCTCTCCTTGCCTGCACAGAATAAAAGCTGTGGCCGCCCGTCAATTTTCGCTCCCGTCGGTTTGTAGTGTATGTTTGCGTCATCTTTCGCTAACAGCTAACTATATTTCAATGCATATAAAGGATGCGTTCAGTTGTAAGCCTGGGATATTTGTACAGGACGTATGTATACTCCACTGCTGATAACCTCTTCAGGAACCGGATTTGTTTTTTGGCACTGTCAGCCTTTTCTTGTATCTCAAGAGCTCTGAATGAACTTGAGAACTTGAAGATAGGAAATGGCATGAAAGGCACTGGCATCAAAAATTCCATAGCTGTTGTCACTTAGGTTTGATTGCGAGCATCCGCCGTCCCTTACCGGTTACTTCAACGGAACACTATTTGTGCAGCGCCGGCTCAAATTGAAATACGAATAACTCAATTTTTATGTCGCTGCCACGCCCTTTATTTAAATCGTATGGCGTATGAGTTTTCTTTCGTCTGACGTAAAGTTATTTCAAATTTTTAACTGGGACCTTGCAACCCGTTTTGGCCCACTATACTATCGGAAAGCATGTTCATGCTGTAGACATTCTCTTCTCTTTTCATTCGATCTCAGTTATTATTCTGGCAGAGGCTCAATCTCGCACTGACCAGTGAATCCCAATCTGTGACTGGTGTCTCCAAAACTGTGGTGGCTTTTCGCATCAGTGCTTTCACCACGTGAAGGCATCCCTCGTCAGGGGTACGACGGCTAGGTGGTTAAGCTGTGCATCTTAGAAACCGGCGGTACGGGGCTCGATTCCCTGCGAGGTCCTTCCCTCGCGACATGATGTGTCGCACAGCCGCGACGCCCGCTGACTTCGTCAATTCTGCGTAGCTGGCACCGGAGCATCTTGTGAACACGATAGCACAAACGGCGTGATGTGATTGACATCTGTAGAGCTTTTGCAGATTGCAGCTGGTGGCTCCAGCCAAGCTTCTCTGGCCAAGCCTTTGGGAGGTGTCTGGTCGCTTCAGTCTCTACTCAGCTCGTGTCGTTCCGTTCCAGTCCGGCCGCTGGATGTGGAGATTCTTGGCTCGTCCAGGGCGTCTATGCAGTCGGGCATGCTGTACGCGCTCGTGTGCCGCACGTACGGCTCCAGACCGCCGGCCAACATCTCCTGGTGGGTTCAAGACCGGCGCGTTCTGGGAGCCCAGCTCACGGTGGGTTGCATGCCACGCCTCCCGACGCTCGCTGGTCTCCGCTGCATGCCACGGCTGCCGACGCTCGCTGGTCTCCGCTGCATGCCACGCCTGCCGACGCTCGCTGGTCTCCGCTGCATGCCACGCCTGCCGACGCTCGCTGGTCTCCGCTGCATGCCATGCCTGCCGACGCTCGCTGGTCTCCGCTGCATGCCACGCCTGCCGACGCTCGCTGGTCTCTACTGCATGCCACGCCTCCCGACGCTCGCTGGTCTCCGCTGCATGCCACGCCTCCCGACGCTCGCTGGTCTCCGCTGTGTTTCGAACACACCATCTCGGCACGTTGTGCTATAGGACTCCAGCGCGTGTTTGATCAGGTGTGGTATGGTGTGTGGTGTAACCAGGTGTGGTGGTATAGTGTGTGGTGTAACTAGGTGTGGTGGTATGGTTTGTGGTGTAACTAGGTGTGGTGGTATGGTTTGTGGTGTAGCAAGGCGTGCTTCCCGTTCACAGGATGTTGTTGATAAATTCTAAGCCCCAGTGTTCAATGATGGGAAAACATAGCAGCTACATAAGCGTTCGATTTTTGGATCCCGTACAAAATCCGAGCCAATATTCGCATTTCCTTTCTGCTTCCGGCCCGATTAGCAAATTTTATATTAACTGTTGCATGTGTTGCAATTTTAGCATCAATTTATCACAGGTAGCTTCAAGCAGTTTAAGTAATGCTAACGACACCAGTTACGGACGTAAAATATGCAGGCTATTTCGTTTTGATCCAGTTCTGTAAGATGTCACAAAACGGCCAGCGAAGGCCCGCATTTCCTTTTCCATGAAGGTTTATCGTCAACTACATAGTGACGCATAAAAAATTGTCTTGAAAATGGCTTTAGTCCCATCATCTCTTTCACCATTTGTATTTCCGCAGCCGCTTATCGTTATTTTGCCTGACTGCTGCAATGCTGCGTTTAACAGTCATAATATTGAATGTGGACCAAGGTGCAGCCCGGCACAACGGCAGTACCGCGGCATACCAGCCTTTTACCCTGCATTGTTTCGCTCCCCGAGTGTGTCGGCCTGGCTGGTGCACATAGCCCATATTTATCAGCTGGGATGGAGGCTGGCTGGCTCCATCATCAGTCTTGTGACGCGATAAGACTGGCGTCAGCTGAACCGCATTGGTCTGTCGAGCTCAAGTAGGCGAAATGAACAGAAACGGGAACCATTCCATTCCGTGGCCCAGCTATCCACATGCGATAAGCACCATTAATTTTTCTTATCGGCTCGCCAGCGCGAGATGTGGCCATCCACTTCTGCATTTGAGCTTAAAATGCTGGTTACAATATTTTACAATGCTTTCCTCCATCACGTGGGAACTTGTCAATGAACTGTAATATAGTACGTAGACGGGGCGCTTTTCCGCAGTCTACTCTTTGACTGACTCCGAATATTGATCAAAGCATTTTGAAACGCTGCCCTTAGGCTCCGCGTGCAGGCAAGGAAGCTTATAACGCACATTTCGGCCCCACCTGAAAAATACTTCATCAATTCTCGTGTCTCAGACACCTATCCCCGCTTCATGGCCAAAACAGGCCGCGGACGGTCAGCGGGGTGTGTAATTTTGCGGTGTGGTTATTCACCGCCAGATTAAACCGCTCCAGACAGCTGCAAACCTCCCTCGGCTCGCCTGCGGATGTAGAAATATGCATGCTATTTCGTATTGATCCATTTATGTAAGATGTTACAAAACAGCCAGCAAAAGCCCGCATTTCGGTGTTATCTTGTCATTGAAAGTCATGTCAAACGGTCGTTGCGACGTGTCAGGCTGTATCCTTTATAAACCCAATGGTCCTCCCAACCATGTAGGATGCAGTGGCCGTCAGCCCGGTCAATACAGTTTGGACCTTGCACCCAGAAAAACGGGTTGATGAGGTTTTTCCGTGTAGGAAAAAAGGACGCCTAAGTGCCCTCTTTCGCTGTTATTCCTGAAGCTGAAGAGGTCGTGTCGAGTGTTCCTTGGGCTCGAGCCGTAACATTCTGTTGATTTTGCATAAGTGAAATAATTCAGGCGATGTTGGTGCGACAATGCATCAAGTGCATGGGAGCTTCCGTAGCGACATATTAGTGAGCGCGTTATTGGGAGCGTGTCTTGTTATGTATGGATAGCCCTTATTCTACATAGATGCTACCAAAGAGCCCGAATCTGCAGCTCCTTATCGCTGCAGCACAGCTGTTCTGTGCGATCCGTGTCTGCCGGTGCCCACTCAACGAGAGGTTATTAGTTGACGGTGGTCGCTTACGGTGCCGGTGACACTTCTTGAGCTCACGTTTTGCTCATTCGCGCCATATTGCGTTATTTTCCGACGGGCAATTCATCACTATCAGGCGATTGCCGTCAACTCATCAAACAAGCTATAATCTCGGAATCGAGCAGCCCTGGCGCGATGATTACCAGCTGTGGGCCTCGGCAGGAGTCCGGACTGGGCAACATCACCAGCAGCACGCTGCCCTTCAAGCCGCGCCCCACCGACAACGGCAGAGAGATCACGTGCAGGAGCGGAGAACAGCCTGGTCTCGGGCGGCACGATCGAGGATAAGAGGCTGCTCAACGTCAGGTGTAAGTGCCTCACGAATCTATTAACACAGAAACCTCGGCCCATGACAGACAGAAGGTGAAATTCAGTCCAAGTACATTTGCTCATGTAAGAGTTGCTGAATACCTCCTTCCTAGCATGACGTATGTCGGCTTATATCGGTATCACTCTCTCGGAGCGTTTGAGTTCCCTAATCAGAGTTCCCGTGGCAGGATCGAGCATGTGTTTACGCTCTCCAGATTAGCTGTACAGGCAGCCTTGCACGTCTCGAAGTGACGATCAACCAGAGCAGTTTCCAGATCTGAACACGCCGACAAATACAGATTAGCTGGCCCGTTCGACAGCGAGCCACCAGCCGTGCACAATGCTCCTTTGTATTGCACTCCCTCGCTGATATGGAACCGTATATCTCCATCGTGTTTTTGATGCAGGACGCGTCTGGCTATTGTGGGACTGGCCCGCCCCTACTGGACGCATTAAAATGATTGCAGCAGTGCCAACGCTCGGCGAGTCGCTTGCAGATACCAATAGCACATCCTTCAGCGAAACGAATGTGGGTCAATGTATTAGCTCGCCTTGTGAATGCTGTTGAAACTCGTCTGCCTCAACTGATGTCGGACGTCGTGCCCGATCTAGAAGTTCGGGTGACATACAGCCATGCCGGACCTCGGGTTGTCACGACGCGCTCGCTTCGTAGAGTGGTCTACCACATTTCTCACTACTGGATTGTTATGGTATAACACTGTCAACGCGGCTCCTTTCCACCAACAGGCGCATGTTTCTGTTTAAACTGGATGCGGGAGATGATTTCCCATAACCCTGCAGCATTGTCGCAAGCGGGTCCTGTCGGGCTTGTTACGTGTATTCATAGTGCAGAACTGATTGGCCAGCTTCATGATCAATTGTTTGGAACAAGATGGTCCGCATGCCTTTTCTCTGGGGTATCTGCCATATCCTATTGCCAAATTTTCCGGAGGCATTTGCAACATCCTATTGTCAGATTTTCCTGAGGCATCTGCCATATCCTATTACCAAATTTTCCGGGGGCATCTGCCATATCCTATTGTCAAATTTCTTCGATTTTGGCACATATAGATTAACCAGAAACCTTTAACGCTTCCAAACCAATTGATTTCAGACCAAAGGCGTACAAACTCGTGACAGCCGCTTGTAGCTCACCCGCGGGCCCGCGGGTGAGCCGGCCGCCCTGTGAGCCGGGCCCGCGGGTGAGCCGGCCGCCCTGTGAGCCGGGCCCGCGGGTGAGCCGGCCGCCCTGTGAGCCGGGCCCGCGGGTGAGCCGGCCGCCCTGTGAGCCGGGCCCGTGGGTGAGCTGGCCGCCCTGTGAGCCGGGCCCGTGGGTGAGCTGGCCGCCCTGTGAGCCGGGCCCGTGGTGAGCTGGCGCCCTGTGAGCCGGGCCCGTGAACTGGCCGCCCTGTGAGCCGGGCCCGTGGGTGAACTGGCCGCCCTGTGAGCCGGGCCCGTGGGTGAGCTGGCCGCCCTGTGAGCCGGGCCCGTGGGTGAGCTGGCCGCCCTGTGAGCCGGGCCCGTGGGTGAGCTGGCCGCCCTGTGAGCCGGGCCCTGGGTGAGCTGGCCGCCCTGTGAGCCGGGCCCGTGGGTGAGCTGGCCGCCCTGTGAGCCGGGCCCGTGGGTGAGCCGGCCGCCCTGTGAGCCGGGCCCGTGGGTGAGCTGGCCGCCCTGTGAGCCGGGCCCGTGGGTGAGCTGGCCGCCCTGTGAGCCGGGCCCGTGGGTGGCTGGCCGCCCTGTGAGCCGGGCCCGTGGGTGAACTGGCCGCCCTGTGAGCCGGGCCCGCGGGTGAACTGGCCGCCCTGTGAGCCGGGCCCGCGGGTGAGCTGGCCGCCCTGTGAGCCGGGCCCGCGGGTGAGCTGGCCGCCCTGTGAGCCGGGCCCGCGGGTGAGCTGGCCGCCCTGCGAGGAGCGCCGTGCGTCGGTGTGCGGCTGAGGGTGACGCCCGGTCCTGTTCCAGTCCCGCCCATCATCAGTTTGCGGCTCGGTAATGCACTGGACGCCGAGAACATCCGGGAGGGTGCCGACGTCTACTTCGAGTGCAACGTCCGGGCCAACCCGGCCGTCTACAGCACCGTCTGGTCACATAACGTGAGAATAGCCGGCACGGCCCAATCGTCTACAGCATTGTCTGGTCACATAACGTGAGAATGGTCGGCACGGCCCAATCGTCTACAGCGTTGTCTGGTCCCAGCATGCGAGCAGGTATTCACAGAGATGTGTGCAAGTATTTGGAAGCTAAAAATCGCATCTGAAAGCGCGTCAAAACAGCCCACAGCTCGGTTGTGGATCTGACAATGTTGCAATCGCATCAGCTGGGATTCAGTGGAATATAGCATGTCCATCCTATTCGATGTTTTGAATGGTTTAGGGTGCGCTGCGATATCATAATATGATTCCTCTGCATGGAGACCGGGGAGCTCGAGTCTTACGCAAAGGTAAGCCATGTCTTAAAAGGTATGGGTATGGGATACAATTTGGTACCACTGCCTCGCAAATGACTGCCTGGTCCTTCGCGATAGTCCTGTCCCGCAGCACTCGTGGTCATGACCCGTCCCCTGTGCCCCGGGTACGTCGCTGGCAGCGGTCGCCCACCGCCCCGTGTCTCCAGCCCGCTCCTGTGCCGCGGCTTACTCAGACGGCCGCGGGGTGCGCCCGTCTGTCACCGCTGAGGCGGACGCGAATCGGCCGCGAGCGGTCGTGCTTCACCCGGGGCTTGGGCGCGTCGGACGGCGGCGCGCTGAGCGCAGCGCTCCGGCGCGGCTGACTCGGCGCAGCCGCCGCGCCGGAGATGACGCACTGCGCGCCGGTTCAGGCGCACGCCCGCCAGATTTATCGCCCGCTCAAGATAAAGCCCTCGGGGCTGGCGGCTTACGAGGCCTCCTTTGAGGCGGGTATCGGCCGAATCAGGAGATCACGCCTCCCATGAAGAGAGCCAGGCCGTCGGCTTTAAAGACTATCAAATCCCCGAGCGGGAGAATAGAGAAGGATCTGTTTCGGGATGATAAAGCGCGGTGTCGTTCACGATTCATCGGTCAGAATTTTACATTGCGCTTGCCGACAACCACTGTCACTGCACAGGGGCTATATGCGTTCTCGTACATATCCTTGGTGAAAAACCGACGTTGCTATGCTGATGGAAAACCATGTGACGTCGACCAGCCCTTCAGCATTTTGAAGACTGTCGGAGGGTAGATTGATGTGTGACGAATAAATGTACTTACTCACGATACGATGGCTGAGTCAAGTAAAGAACTGGCGTCATTCCCACCGTCAGCGACCTATTTCCGCTCTTTGCGCCCTGAACGAAAGCCAAAGCCACTGACATGAGACGCTTTCGTCCGTGTCGGCAGGAGAGGCCGGTGCGGCCGAGCCCGCGCGCCGGCGTCAGCGACATGGTCAGCATCAACGAGCGCAGCCTGGTGATCCGCAACCTGAGCCGCCGCTCGGCCGGCGCGTACCGGTGCCGGGCGGCCAACCCGGAGGGCGAGGCTGTTAGCCGGCTCGTCCACCTCAGCGTCAAGTGTGAGTGGGCGGCGGTCAGGTGTGCTCTCACGTCTCGCGGCGCTTCGTGGCGTCACAGTTGGCTTTATTAGTGCGATGTGCGGACGGCAGTGGCGCTGAAGAGGACTTTTCTGTCGTTTAAGGTTCCATAGGTATCGAGCGGCGAGGTTTGTAAGAGTTCTCGTAAGAGCAGGACGTGGTCGCAGCGCTCTGGTCGTTATGGGACGTCAGATTTCAGGTAGTTCTCTCTGGACCGATCACTGTCGGGAGGAGCTCATCACGCTGCTCCGGTACAACCAGGCGTAGGGGACGCCGAGCAGGCCTAGGTGTTCTCCGGCCCGTTCTGTGCCGGCAGGCCGGACTGAATCCTTAATTCCCGTCCGGGCGCGCTGCCAGATTACCAACAAACGAGCCCGGCCGCGCCACTCCTCCGCATCAATCCGATGTCGTCAAACTCTGGGCCCGGATGGCGTGTTCGCCCGGCGCTGCCAAAAACCAGCCCCAGCGTCGAAAAACAACGTGTCCAATTAGGCTCTCTGCGGCGTGGGGTGGTGATGGGGACAGAGCAGAAGCTAGCCAAGTCGCAGAAAGCTGGGATGGTATGGGGGTAAGTGAGGAGTTGGTGCTTCCTGACCGCTGGCAGTGCACTTCTGCTGTCCTGTTCTATTGTCCTCGTCGGACGATCGTTGAGAAGGCCCTGGCAAAGTGACGGACAAGCTGGACAGTTCACCATAGCTCATGGGACCTCACCTACTGACGTTAGAAGTCATGTTTGTATCCATATACACCATCACTTCTTTATACCGCAAATAGCCTTTGTTCCACGCTCACCCAAAATTGGCAGACTATTTTATGTTATGTGCGTCCAATACAGGTAATCAATCGCATTCGGAATATTGGAGTATCCAACTGAGGCGTGTGGTTTGGGTTCGCAGGCCACTAGAATGTCGATGTTAATACTCGAACGTTCGTGAGGGTCCAAACATTGCTGGTGTAATCACGCAGATCTTTAAAAACCCACACATCCCTCCAGGAAGAGGGATTGCTGTTAATGTCCTGCGTTGTTCCGAACCAATTCTCGAACCTCGTAACAGTGCACCGTAACACAGTTTTGGACAGCTCATTTTGCAAAGTTTTACACATGGCTTTTAAGTTTAAGATATCTAACACAACTGGCAAGTGACCCATGACCTCATACTTGAGCATGTGCATGGGAAAATGGGGAAAATCTAATTCTGCGACGAGTTCTTGGTTCTGCGTGCGCAGGACCATGGCCTAGTGCTCCCAAATGAAGTCAGGTATTTCTGTAATAACCTTCATCAATGCTGACATATTTCCAAAAGCTTTTGGGGTGAAAGCCACATTGAGCAAATTCTTGAAAACCAAAGACCAGATTGCTGCTTTATCATGAACTAGTGTAGTTACGCTGTGACGATTGTTTTGTACGAGTAGATTCCGATCAAAGTCAGGTCAAGTTAAGCTTTAAAGCACATGTTAAATTTGCAGCACTGATATAATGATGTGTCATACATGTATAAATGGCACAAGTAAGCATTACAGCATGAAAGTTTTATAGAACGGCATTTTCACAGTGTACCAACTCTGCCATCGCATATAACGAACTTGAGTGTGGAGTCATAGGTGACTACAGTTTTAAGAAGTCATGGACTCACCCCGGTCAGATTCCCTTTGGGAAGAAGTGGTGCTGTTATAAGCTCTTTGGGCGACCGCAGTCTGCAACATCACATAGAGAAGCCGAACCCTTGGTTTGACCTCGGTTGACCCGTGCTGATCGGACCGCCGCAGGGGATATTGCGAAGCGATCCGGCAAAAGCTGGTGATCACGGACTGCTCTGAGGCCGAACTTTTGCTCCGGAACTTCGGGTGCTGAATCGGCAAGGGGCTGTACTTTCGCTTCCCCCCCCCCCTCGTTTCCCTTGCTGGGGATGACAGCTACACCTGCAAGTTGGTAAAAGTTAGCATCAGTGTTAAACATAATCAGCAGTTAACTTAATGAACTTTAAACAATTTAAAAGTTGACTTTTTAAAAGACCCACACGGCGAAAAGGTTTTCCGAAGATATCGTTATAGCACAATTTAGAAATTAGAGATAAGAGAAGCAATTTTTCTCCTGTGGTTTAGCACTTCGAGCACAGCTTAACTACTGCTTCTCAGCGTACGGTGTAAGTCGAAAGAGGTGATGGCATGCGGGAGTAATCAATCTACGGTCATTTGGTGATACCAAAACTTGATGCGACCAGGGACCTTAAGAAACCTTCACAAATGTGTCTGATCGCTGCCTTAAGTGGGCTGCCTGTCACGCTGTAGCGATCGCGGTTTTAAAGATGTGGCGTGATGGCGCTAATTCATAAATAACGCTATTGGAAATCGACTGACCCGAAGTCTTCCCTTGCCTCGTATGTGGGAACGTACCTCGTGCCGCGCCGCCGCCGTTCTTATGTTTTGCTTGGCGTTCACTGTCCAGGCCGCGCGGATGCTGCCGTGGTTCCTGCCCATTATGATTGCCCCCTCTGCCATGGTTACTGACCGGCGTGCTCTGGCCACAGACGCGCCCGTGTGTGTGTCGGGCCAGAAGAGCCGGTACGGCAGGGCCCGGAACGAGGCGGCGCGCGTCACATGTCAGGTGGAGGCCAGTCCGGCGGACGTCATCTTTAGGTGGCAGTTCAACAGCTCGGCAGAGACGCTCGACCTGCCATTCTCACAGGTCAGTCCGGCAGACGTCACCTTTAGGTGGCAGTTCAACAGCTCGACAGAGACGCTCGACCTGCCATTCTCACAGGTCAGTCCGGCAGACGTCACCTACAGGTGGTAGTTTAACAGCTCGGCAGAGACGCTTGACCTGCCATTCTCACAGGTCAGTTCGGTCGAAGCCCGGCGACTCGTACTGAAAGGAGATGTGATTGCGGCTTTGGAGGACTGTCAATACGTCTCGTCTTTGATTTTGCCTAGTTTGGAGAAAGTGATGCCATGCTAATGCCGCTGCTGCTCACGAAGGAGGGCTTAAGTGCAAGGTTGAAATAAGACGCCTGTGCACCACAGTCTTTTGGCTGGTTGGAGGAGGGGAGAAGGGGTGGCGAAGAGAGGAATCGTGTGAGGTGGGAAGGCTGGCACATGTCACCTCTTTGTGTTATCCATCTCCCCACTTGCAAGCGGTGTGTCGCCTTGAGAGAGTCATGTCGACTTGATGTTGGCAAGAGCGCCTAGCCAACCTCACTGTCTGCAATCACCAACCGCAAACGACTTGTGATCAGTGGATTGCTGAGCGCCAGAGATGACGAACACTTCTTCACGATTCCACGTACCCTTAAACGTTTGTGGAAGACTCCTGCAAGAACCGAGTCCATCCGAATGCACCATGGGAAAGCACCGATTCTTACTGCATTAATGATTTTCACCTTGTTGTTTCTCGTACGACCTTCGCCGTGACTTTCCAGCGCAGAAACACGATAACGTTTCAATATTAACGGCTGCACCCAGCCGTTTCGTGAACACGGTGATCTGTCCTCAGATTGTCTCACGGGGCCTGGAAAGCCGCTCCTCCTACACGCCCAAGACGGAGCTGGACTACGGCACGCTGCTCTGTACGGCGGAGAACGACATCGGTCCCATGGTCAAGCCCTGCGTCTTCAACATTGTTCCTGCTGGTGAGAGGAAGAGCGATGGTGCGCCGCTGATGTTTGTGAACGATGTGCTTCATTCACAATTTGATTTACCATTGAGAGCAATCGGCTTAGATCTGTCCTTGCGCATTTGGGCTTTAACTTATAGCCGGTGTCAAATAGATTTGAGATGTAAAATATTCGCCCTATCCGACTGTGGCATCATCTCCGGCAGGTCCTCCGGAGCCGTTGCGGAACTGCACCGTCATCAACCAGACGTCCGACTCGCTGGAGGTGAAGTGTGCGGCCGGCTTCGACGGCGGTCTGCCGCAGTACTTCGTGGCCGAGCTGTTTGACGTGGCTGGCCGGCGGCTGGTACGCAACCTCACCCGGCCCTTCCCCCACTTCGCGGTGCTGGAGCTGCCGCCGGGGCTGGAGCTGCGGCTCCAGCTGTACGCGGCCAACAGCCGCGGACGCAGCCGAGCCATCACGCTGGACGGCTTCACGCTGAAGGCGGCCGAGAAGCGCATCAGCAGCAGCAGCGGCGGCGGCGGCGGCGGCACGGACCAGCCTGCAGGTCAGCGAATCTCAAAGAAGGAGAAAGGGAGACCTGCCACGGCTGCACGTAGCTCTAACACAGCCTGGTGTATTCTGTCGAGCACTGCCGTATGGCGGCCGTGTGCAGCGGTTCGTAGACTCAGGATCAATATTCTATGTGTCTGGAACGTTTACGAAGTGGAAAAAAATCACTCCATAATGGTCGGATGACATTAATAATCACAGCCCGCAAAATGTTGCGTTACCCCTACCCCATCCCCCTCCCCCCCCCCCCCCCCCCCACCTCGCCACCGATCATTGTGGGTTAGATGTGAAAAATATCCCGGTGCCGAATGCGAGACACGGCAGGATAGGCAGTCCCTCCCCACTGTTGACAGAACCGGCGGAGGAGCAGCGGTTCACTGTGACGCCGATCCTGGGCGTCCTGATCGGCATCGTGGCCTCCCTCATCATTGTCGCCATCGGCGTGGTGGCGTGCATCAAAGGCAGCAGGTCAGGGGCCCAGCTGATGGCATAGAGTCGAGACCACCCTGTCGAGGCTTCACAGAGTTGAGACCGTCCTGTTGAGGATTCACAGAGTTGAGACCGTCCTGTTGAGGATTCACAGAGTCGAGGCCACCCTGTCGAGTGTTCACAGAGTCGAGACCGTCTTGTCGAGGATTCACAGGCTCGCATGAAATCTGGCGGAAAAACCACGTGGATGTCTAATGCACAATATTGTACCGGATCTCCTGAATTGTTCACAATAAATAATTTGCTCCATTATCTGGAATAACTGTATTTCAGGACTTAAGCTATCATGTAGCACATGACTTTCATTTGAAAGAGGTAATTGTGTTTAAACGTTTAAAAGACGCACGTCACCTGCATGATTTGTTTCGAATCCTTCAAAAGCTTGCAGCGATGCACTGTGGTATGCCTTTGAGATTGATGAGAAGACTGCGAAGACCCTGCGGATATTGTTTCCACGTTATTTAGAATAGTAGTGCGCACAAGTTCCTTCAAAAACGTGTTTTTGAAATGTTACGGGATTCAATAGCTGATCACAAACAAAAGCAGCATGTCTTTTTACCACATATAAAGCGCTATTGTCAACGATATAAGATGTCACTAAGCAGTAGTACCATCTTACAGCTTAATACGATGCTATAATCCGATTTCAGTCGAAGCCGAAGAAAACCGACGGTCCAGACGCATCTTTTAAACTCATCCGTGAAAGTCAAGCAGAGATCGGCGGCTGTTGACACAGAGGTCGGAGCTAAGCTCTACGACACGGACCGGAATCCGGACGTCGTACCGAACATGTCCGGTAAGAACATGCCTCCCCGCCGTTATACGGAGTCGTCCGTTAACAGTTAAGCAACAGGGGCGAGTGTATTTGTGGCGCAGCCACGCCTGCGGTTCGACGGCAGCTCAACTGCCGACTCGACTGCCAGTTCAACGGCAAAACACGATCAGTGGCAGAGAAAGTCATCAGAAGTGCCACAGTCGCCAAATCGTAACTACAGAAGATGTTCAAAGTGGGCCTCCTGGCGGTTCGGGATGCGCCACAGCCGAACTTGCTGCAGGTGTTTGAATGTCCGGTCATCATGCCGAAGGTGACGCATCCCATCACAGGCCTCACGACGGCCTTCAACTTTTGGAGGTTTGCTGTCTTGTTCACGTGGGCGTGGTCCTTGACATAACCGAACAGCACGGCAGTTTAAGAGCCACAGGCCGGGCGAATGGAACGCCCGCAGTCTGCAGGGATCTGGGACGTACGTTGCAGGCGCGTCCGCTGCCTTGTACCCATCGTAATATTAAAAAGAGATGAAAGCGGGCATTCTGCCAAGTGATGACCTTTGATCTCCGCTGGCAGCATCCAGTTACGAGCCAGTGCCGACGCCACATCTGCTGAATCACCTGAACGTGAATTCAACGAGGAGACATTCTCTTACGTCAGGCCTCCTTCCCGGCAGCCCCCACAAGGGCAATGTCATCCAGGTCAGGGGCAAACATCGCAGGGCCGGCTGCTGCAGGCGTGCGCAATGTCCCCCGATGCAGAGCCGTTAACTCCACCAGTCGGTTACGTTCAGCCGTCTGCTTTTAGACACAGCCTGCACACTGTGGTAGGCTGGATCCCCATTTCCAGCGCGTGGTGTGGTAAATAGCGCATAGTCCGCTGAGATGTCAACGGCAGCGGCTGCTAGCCGGTGCCTGTAGTGACCGGGGAGACTCCATCTTCGCTGTAAGATAACGCACTAATCCGTCGTTTGAGCTCGGCGCTCGACCGCTCACGAACAAATAAAATAGTTGGTGATGTCTGTCGACGCAGGTGGTGATGGTCTGAGCGCACATAAGTCACTCTCTGCACTTACACAGACCGAAATATAGAATTCGTCACCAGTCATCTCACATTTGCCGCGTTTTCCTTCTTTTTTAGTTCTTCTTTTGTTCTGCTTTGGCTTTTACGTCTAACGTCGTTGTGTCCGGTACCTTGCTTGACCTTGACTTGGTACCGCCGGCAGGAAAGCATCAACGATGGGGACCTGACCCTGACGAGGCCGGGCCGGGACGGCAGGGGTGCAGTCCTCACGTTCGGCACCTTCAACCCGCGACGGCACACCATGGTGCGGACGCTCCCTAGAAAAGACCGAGAGAGTGTGGTGTAGGATGGAGTGCGGTGCAGGGCAGTCGGCCTTACCATTGATGACCGAGAGGGTGTGGTGTAGGACGGAGTGCGGTGCAGGGCAGTCGGCCTTACCCCTGATGACCGAGAGAGTGCAGATAAGGCACTGAGCCTGGCCGGTGGTGACCGGGAGTTCGGTGAGGCATGACCATCCTCGTCGGTGGTGACCGGGAGTTCGGTGAGAGGTGGCCATCCTCGCTAGTGATGACCGGAAGTTCGGGGAGTTCGGTGAAAGGAAGCCATCCTCGCCAGTGGTGACCGGGATTTCGGTGAGGGGTAGCCATCCCCCCTAGCGATGACCGGGAGTTCGGTGAGGGGTGGGCATCCTTGCCAGCGGTGACCGGGAGAGGGCGTCATGTCACGACTGGCATTGACCCTCACTGTGATAGCGGTCCCCGACGGCAGAGCTAAGGGCGCCCAGCGCCTCTGCCGCCGGCTGAGACTTCCTGAGGTTACGTGCCGGCCAGTGTTGTGCGCTGTGAGCGTGCATCAGCTGCTCGCCCGTGCAGAGCCAGCCCCCAGCGGGGGCGAAAGCTCACCGACAGATGGTGGGGCGGGTGGTGAAGCTCACTGTGGCACGGCCGCGAGTGGCCGCGATGTAAGAGCCGTGCGCCGTCACTGTCGCTGTGTTGCGTCTGGGGTCTCAATGTTCGCGGCAGTAGCGTCCAGACACGTCTTGGCTTCCGCTGAATGGGCAGAGGTATGGTGCTGGGGGCTGCGGCTGGTGCGTTGTCACACACAGTGTGTCATCTACTGCAGGTGCGTTGTCACACACAGCGCGTCATCCGCTGCCCGTGTGTTGTCAGATACAGTGCGTCATCTGCTGCTGGTGTATTGTCACACAGTGTGTCATCCGCTGCTCGTGTTTTGTCAGATACAGTGTGTCATCTACTGCTCGTATGCCGTCAGATACAGTCTCATCTGCTGCTGGTGTATTGTCACACACAGTGTGTCATCTGCTGCTGGTGTGTTGCCAGATATAGTGCCATCTGCTACTCGTGTGTTGTCACACACAGTGTGTCATCTGCTGCTCGTGTGTTGTCAGATACAGTGTGTGGTCTGTGACTGGTGAGTTTTCAGCCAGTTGCGGCCGGTGTGTTGTCAGGTACAGTGCATCATCTGCGACAGCTGTGTTGTCAGTCATCTGCAGCTTGTGTGTTGTCAGCCACAATGTCATCTGAGGTTGGTGTGTGGTCAGACACAGTGTCATCTGCTGTCGCGCTATGTTTGATAGAAGCGACTGTGCTGTCATTTATGAGTGTTTTATCGGACCTTTTCCGTGCCGACAGCTGGATAGGATGACCAATTTACAAATGGGGTTCAGTTGTTGCGGTGGTCGGCCATAATGCAATCAGTTCCACAATACGACGCGAAAGAGTAAAGAGGGCCAAAATACGGCATTGCATCATGCATCTCAAATGCTGCACCAGGTGTTTTTGCCAACTGATTGGATCATTTTTCATCCCTCGAAGCAGGTACAAGCCTGGGCTGCTTTCGACCTGGCAAATTTTACCACAGCATGTTTTTTCACAGCGCTTATTATTGGGCACACTAGCGTAACGTGTCACCGTGCGTTGAGGGTCACATGCAGCGCGTGACTGAACTCGCCAGTCGGTGCGTCTAGTCTGTTTTGGAAAACTTATTGTTGTCAGTGGCATGCCGACCTGAATTCGTATTACCAGCGACTGCACAATCCGACCTCAACGGGACTCCAACGGATTTAGGCTGCGATTGGTCATGCCCCGACTAGAGGACTGGACACATAACAGGCCAGCCGAGTTTTGCAGTCAGCACTCTCCGAAATTGCATCGCGCGAATCACGAAGGGCTTAAAATCGGGAATCGTTGGAATGTCATCAGATACATGCTGCGGAAGTGGATTTCATGATGGAATGCGGGTGTCTCCTAAATTTGTATACACTAAAAGCTGAGTGATAGTAAAAAGGAAAAGCCTTTTCCATTATGCAGCCCGTGTGCTGAGACAATTTCCCAACAGCTTTCAGTTTGCAACCTGGCTCACAACATTCATAATTTGTTGTTTTCCAACCGGAGTGCATCGAGTAGATTTTGTCTTCGCTGGACGTAATGTTAGAGCTTTTCAATCGCAGGCATTCGAGTTTCATACAGTCACGTTACTGACGTGACTAAACCATGTCACATGCATCAGCTCATCACTCACCACCTTCACCCGCGATTTCCTGGGTGATTCGAGAAGCAGGTAGCTTTCTAATGTTTTTGTACCTTGAAATAATGACTGAAATTCCCTGCAAAAAACAATACAAGTAAAAGCAGCTGATTAGCTAGATATGAATGGACCGTGAGACGATAGCCTCCTTGTGGCTGGTATAGAGCACGTGCAATTTCTGGCAATACTCACCACCTTTTTTCGATGTTTCCTTTTGCTTCGTTGAATGATGGTAAAGGAGCACTAAGGCAAGCTGCGAAAATTACAGAAACCCTGTGTAGATTGCGAAACCACGAGCGATTCGCGGACTACACTGGTGTACTCCGCTATGACTGGACCAAAACCCCTGATAATTTTTATCGCCTAAAGCTTAATCTTCAGTCCGAAAAAATAAATATGTGCCCCTTAGATCCGACACCACCCGGTTGTTGAAGCCCACCCACCATATCTACGTTAGGAATTCCATGTAGGCCTCATGGACGAGATAAGCTCCGGGGGTTCTCAAATCCGAGCTGCCCGTGGGTGCCAACTGATCACCCGTTTTGAACGTAGATGATATTGCTCCTCTGTTTAAGACATGAAGGATACAAGACCGCAATCTAAGGCAAACCTCAGCAGGTATCTAAGTGAGGTGGATATGTTGAGTCACCGAGTGCTCAGTTTTCGGGATACAATGCTCGGCTTTGTGTTTGTCGCACATCCTGAAGGTCTCCGACGAGCCGTATTAAGTACAACAGCAGGTCGGTGTGAGTGCAGTTACAAAGATTGCACAGCGCAGTACTCGTTTCTACTGATGTGGAAATAATTTTACATTTACGTAGAATAATTTGTTGTCAATGTTTTGGCTGTTGGTCACTTTTTGGGGTTGCTGCAAAAATGCGATCTATAAACACAGATAACCATGCGTGACATGCAGAGGAGGCAATCGCCCTATGTGGCTTGGCATTACCTTTCTTACCATAAAACCAGGGAAACTAGGATATGCCGTTTGGGTAATATCTGTATGCACCCACCGCTCTAAGATTTGGAAGCTCTCAAAATCCTGTATTCGCGGTCAAAGAGTGTCGCCCAAATCAGTCAGCTCTGTTTACTTGGCCCGGCTTATGACGCCATCCATGACCACTACGTCAAGAAACGGTATACCCATTCATGTAAATAATGCGGCTTGCGCAGAAAACAGTGGCTTATTACCCTCCGAATTAGTGCACTCGGTGTACTGGTTACCGAGGCAGAGGTGGAACAAAAAAGGTGAAATTGTTTGTGATTGGGGGCTTACATACCTCAGTGACCGTCCCCGTAGGCCCGTTAAGACGATGATGTGTGCTTCAGCATGAGTGGCGATTGTGTGACAAATAGCAGGCCAACCTTGGGTGTTTATTTCTTTATCGTACATACACGCTGTGCGTAAATATTTCAGTTATGATAGGGAGACCAGTTGCCCATCAAAACGTCTGATCATGCTCCTTTGTGGGCCGGCGCATCGCAGGCCCGTCTTCTTGCTTGATGAAATGAATCCGAGACTGGTGGCATCTGACGTTGTCTCTCAGATGTTGGACAGGTGCTGCGCCAGGCATCTCTTTGCGAGTCGGCCAACTGTCTGGCATGAGCGTGATGTGTTGTGTTGTGACCGGCTTGGCGTACAGAAAGTTTCCCTGGAGATCTCGTGTGAGGCGTGCTGCCGTGCCGCATGCTCCCATGCTTCACCATGACGCGGCGCCACCCCACAACACCGCTTACCGTCACGCTCGAACTACAATATTTGCACCGAAATATGCCGCGCTGTGTCGGTTGGCTTCCGGAGCCTCCCAATGGCCGCCTGCAAATTACGCAGGTTCTGAGCGGTGTCCGTGTTTGACACGTCGCTCTCCTGAGGCTCATTCACGTCCGCTTTGTCGTCGTCTTCCCCGGCGCAGGGGCCGGCCGGTTATTTCCTCTTTGATGGTGCTTGATGTGGCCACGTGCGAACAATACATGTGACGTGGTGTCTTGATGAACGGGCAGTAGCGTGTGCCTGTAATGGACAGGAACCTACACCAGCAGTGTAGCAAAGGCACAAGTGCGTGTTTCCAGGCAATAGCAATTCGGTGGTGATACACCAGAGTCTGTAAGGTTTCATTTCTGCCGAATAGCAGGCTGTGCAGGGAGTAAATGTATGAATTCACGCGCCGTGATACTTTGGCAAACACTGGCATATGCGGCGGTGAAGAACGGAAGCTGCAGAAAGCTTGCACACGAAGTATTACTGTATCGTGAAAAATTTCGTAGACCACCGCGCTTACAGGAGCCGGGAATGTGGCGGTGATGGACGGGATGGTGCAAGGCATCACTTTGGTACGGTGGCAGCCCATGCCATAAAAAAAATACACGACTGTTTTACGGAAAAGCTAACACATTTTTGGTCATTAGCGCATAAAACTCACAGAACATTTCGTATTTTCCGTACATTTAAAGGGTGTATTTCTTTGCATACACAGGCACTGGTGTAAGTACTAACGCATAGGTACTCTGTCTGACAGAACTGGTGTAAAAACATTAATTTAAGTTTTCTTTCATCTGCGTGTGGGCAAGACCCAGCAAACTGTAGTAAGTTTTCATGTTTATTTATCATGTTGTGCCCAGAACCGCTACTAACTCCAATAAAGTGGGAAAAGCCTTGCATTCCCTTCAAACATATACGATTCAATGTTTTGTTTTCTGAAATGATTAAATAATTCAACGGTTTCTTGTTCCTTAAACATTAGGACTAACTTATTGTTAAGTATTACATAGAAGGTGTTTTATCATTTCGTCCGTAATATTTAACCTAACTAATTTAACGCAAGAAATGAAATACCCTATTACCAACTAGTTAGAGGCATGCACATAGGTATTTGGCTTTGATAATTGTACTTAATTTTTCATAGCAGGTAAACGTTTCCCCAGTTTACAAAAGGAATATAGGTACACTGATGGGTCCAGGGAGGGGTGGGAAGGGGGTGGGCTTAAGGGGCAAATGACCCTCCCAAATCCGTTCAACGTTCACGCTGACGTTCTTTTTTTACAGAGGAACTACTCCGCTAGGCGGAGAATGGTTCGAAATTACAGGAGAAAAATCGATCGGCAATCCTGGAAGCAGGATACAATGGCAACGGCCATCAAAAGCAGTCAAGGGGGGAAATGTCCACCAAAGAAGCGGCACGCCGCTTTCTGGTCCCGAAGTCGACTCTCGACAGACGCCTGAAAAAGGCGCGAGCAATGTCAAGAACAGAGGCCACAGAGAAGGTCCTGGGTTGACACAAACCTGTTTTCATGGAAGCTCAGGAGCGAGATTTGGTACAGCACATAATGGAGCTCCAAAACCGGATGTTCGGAATAACGCTGACTGATCTCAAGAAGCTCGCATATGAGTTCGCAGACAGAAACAAAATCATTCACCCATTCAACACGGTGCCGAAGATGGCAGGGGAGGCGCGGATACGGCGCTTCCGCAAGAGGAACCCCGCGGTCTCACTAAGGGCACCAAAGGCCACAAGAGTTGCTCGCGCCGCGGCGTTCAACTCAGTCAATGTCAACGCGTTCTTCGACAACCTTGAGTCGCAGATGGATTCTGCCCAGTTCGGTCCCACACGCATCTACAACATGGATGAAACGTGACTCAAGACGGCCGCAACAAAACAAGAGAAGGTGCTGGCGAGGGAAGGGTGCAAGCACGTCGGCCAACTGACATCTGCGGAACGAGGCACGCTGGTTACCGAGGTGATGTGTATCAACGCTGCGGGGAGCTACATACCTCCAGGTGTGATATTTCCAGGAAAGAGTGCCAACCAGCAGTTGGAGAAGGGTCTTCCCCCAGGTAGCCTGGTGCTGTACCATGAGTCTGGTTGGATGCAGAAGGAGCTGCTCGTGAAATGGCTTAACCATTTCATACAGCACGCGAAGCCCTCGAAACAGGATCCGGTCCTTCTCATACTGGATGGACATGCCAGCCACACCAAGAGCCTCGCAGCCATCCTACTGTGCAGGGAAGCAGGTGTGTGATGCTCACCATGCCTCCTCACACCTCACACCGCCTTCAACCACTGGACTGGACGTTCATGCTTCCCGTCAGCACCTTCTTCTTCCAAGATCAGAGAACGTGGCTCCGAAACAACCCTGATAAAGTCATCACACTGTATGAGATGGGGGAGCTGATTGGGTCAGCCTACGTGCAGGCGGCAACAGTGAAGACGGCGTTGAAGGGCTTCGAAGTCACGGGGATCTTTCCCACAAACCGCCACGTGTTTGGCGAAGAAGGCTTCGCAGCGGCAGAAACAACGAACATCCCGCTGATCGGCACCGCAGACGCACCAGTGGGTCTCAACTCAGCAGCAGCTCCTTTGCCCATGCCTGGACCCTCTGACGTTGATGTCTCGGTGAGCATGAACGTTCGGGAGTCCTCGGAAACTGTCGCCGGAGACGCAACGCATGCTGGAATATCAGGGCAGGGAACCTCGACTAATGCCGAAACTCCGGCGAAGTTGCTCACCACTGGGGCTCTGCCAGACGATTTCTCAAGCTCTAGCGATGACGAAGATGACGTTCTAGAAGTGTCATGCTCAGCTGGACCGAGCCATGCTTCCCAAGATCAAAATGACACACCCGCAAGCTCGTATGTGTCTCCCCGCGAAATCCTCCCTGTGACAAAAGTGCACTCAAGGGAGGAGAGAGGTAAAGGACGAAAGAAAGGTAAAACATGTGTCTTGACTGGCACACCATACGAGGGGGAACTCGAGAAGAGACTCGAAGGAAAAAGAAGGTAGACAGGGAGGAAAGAAAAATGACGACAGAATTCAGTCTAAAGGAAGAAAAGGAGGAATGTGGAAACTCAGAAACCGCAGCACTAACAAGAGAAGCGTACGCCGCGAAAGCTTACCTTTGAGAGTCCTCGGACAAAGAAGATGTGGCTTGTCTGTACTGCGGGTCCTTCTTCTCCATGTCCAAATCGAACGAGTCTTGGTCGCGATGTGCTCTCTGCGATAAATGGGCGCACGATGCCTGTGCAGGGATTGATGAAAAGGACGAGTGTGTGTTCGTGTGCGAACTGTGCCGGGATGGCTAGGCAGGCTGATGTCTTGCCTAGTTTCGTCATTGGTCGTATCTGATGACGGATCCACTAGGCTGTGCTCTTTTCGTGTTTTGCGTTCACAGTGACTAAGAAGTGGATTGATGAGCAGAACGAGTGAGTGTTCCTGATCGAACTTTGGTCGATGACTTTGTCGTCTCATTGTGTAACCACCAGGCTGTGTTCCTCTAGTTCTGTGCCTAAGCCATGCAGCAATGGCTGTCGCTTCATACCAAGCTGTAATACACATTTGCTGGCCATTATAACTTTTATTCGTGAGATCTTAATGAGGAAACAAGTATGGAGTGGTATGGTTCGAGCAAAATATGAGAGCCCAAACATAAGAAGTATAGCTATTGGATGTCCAGACAAATACCTACCCACCGAGCTATGCATTTAATGAGGCGTTTAATTAAAATGATAACTTTGAAAATATTCATTTCGCTTATTTAGTATCCTCACTTGTCCGTTTTGCCCGGAATACTGCATCGTTTTACCCCAAGCCAGCGCCAAATGAGGAAAAAAACATTGCCTGATATTTAGGAGGATCACACTTTAACATGAAGAGATATCAAACCAGCGTTTTTTTTAAAAGAGATAGACAATTGATCAGCCTTCAGTATCCACCTGCTTACGACTTTCTGGACAGAATTATGTACTCCCCATATTGAAAAACGTTAAGGTGTCAGCTTTGTCCCTCTTTCCGCTATACATACATGCATATATATATGCATATGCACATATGTATATATACATACATACATATATATGTGTATATATATATATATATATATATATACATATATATATATATATATATATATATATATATATATATATATATATATACAGCGCACTTGTGGTCAAGTCTTAGCTATAAAGGTAATGGCTGGTTTATGTTTTTGCAGCTTAAGTTTTGTCGTGTAGCACTCATATCATGTATGAGATTTTGTAATAGCTGTAACGTCGCGTATAAGTGAGGACTGCGAAAGTCTTCCCTGTGTAAGTAACGAAAAGCACGAGTTTTTGCAGCATACGTATTTGCAGCATACTTTTGTCGTCTAGCATTCATATCGTGTGTGAGTTTTGGCGGTAGAAGTAATGTAGTGTGTGAGCACAAACTCTTTAAGTTTTTTGCAGTACGTGTGATGACGTATAGAAAATTATGAAGCATAACTTCTGTCGTGTAGCACTCATGTCGTGTACAAGTCTTTGCAGTAAAAGTAAGGTCGCGTATAAGTAAAGGCTGTACACGTTTTTGCGATAAAAGTAAAGTCTGGATAAGTTTTGTAGTAGAAGTATTGTCCGTTATACCTGATGTAGCACTTCTGTCGGTAGGAGTTTTTGCCCTGGCACCAATGTCGTGACGCCTGCTGAAATAGCCCTCACACCCTCATTTGGCTTCCTCTTTGATGAAATGCTGGTTTCGCTGGTGCAGGGTGTAACGTAGATCCCGCGCTGGCCATGAATCCACTGAAGGCGATGCCATGACAATGAGCAAGTGTCAGCGACTCGGCAAAAACCTCATTTCCGCGCAAAAGATCGAAGTGTACGAAATGCAAACATCAAGCTGAGTGGTGAAAGATTCGTGTAGGGCTAAAAGTAATCGGAAAACTTCAGTTTAATACTAGAAACCCACTCGATTTAGTACAGCGACTGTCCGGATTCCGTTTCCACCAGAAAGTTGGCAGCTTGTGATTGGAAGCAGTTGTGGTTCTGACAACGCTTGGATGGGCATATTCGTGCATGTGGAATGTTGTGTTTGGTTGTTCGCAGCAGTTGTTAAGTGATTACGTGTGGATCTGGGCAATAAGGAGCTATTTAGGCACATACAATGGGCAGCAGCCGGTAAATTAGGTTCTTGGCCCTGCTCAGTTTTTTAATATGATCCATAAAGACCTTAAACATGCTTTTTCTGCCTTAGCGTATGTCGTGTTGTTAAGTACGTGTTGGATTCCACCTATCAAACATTTTGTTTTTTTGTTTCATTTGAGTGAAGGGTGAATGCTAATGCTGACCAGTTATTGTGCAGTACTAATAAGCTGCATAATAATCATCACTATCAATGAATCATTATTACGTCACGTACACTGCAGGCACTATGGGCACGCATGTTAATTTTAATTTGAGTGCTGTAATCATGAGCAGTAACTTTATGGTGTAAAATGCAAACCTAATGACAGCAGCCATGTGTGATGGTAACTTGCCTCTCACATTATGTAGTATGCTGGCAGCACAGATCTATAGCAGTGCGTACCCAAGAGTTTTATTGAGCAGATAAACAGCATATGCTGTGACTCAAAGTTCTGCAAGTAAATGCTTTAGATAAGGTGGTTTCAACCACCGTAAATTACAGCAGAAATGATCAGGTGAGTGTTTTATAACTACTGTGGTTTGTATAGCAGTGATGTTTGGCACAAAACATGAACTATATCTTTCTGCTGTCATTTCATTATGCAACTTGATACTGACCTTTCATTATCATTCTTTTTCACCATTATTGTGATGTAGGTTTTCTCCAATTTTTTTATAAGCCATGCACAAGCAAAATCCCAGAAGGCCCTTGGTGTCACTTGTTCATTGCTTCATTGCCAGAAGTAATTTTCCATTGATTGTCTCAGAAATGGTCACTGGATGAAAATAACAGTACAGTTTTTCAGGTCTTGGAATTCTCATTGTGTGGCATAAGCACATTCCAGTGTCAATATGGACATTGATGAAGTCTTCTCCCATATTGGGGAGTTTGGACCAGCTCAAAAGAAGTATGTGCTGGTGATATCCTTAGCCCAGGTATACATAGCATCAATTAATTTAAATATGGAATTTACAGGTGAGTTATTGTGCATAACAAATGGAAAGGTTGCTGAATCAGTTATTTAAATTTAGCTGATTTGTGCTGTGAATACATTCAGAGATGACATGAATGTATATGCCAGCTTGGTTCTGACCACACTTGAAGCCATGATGTAACTATTGATTTCCTGGAGGCCTCAGTTGCATCACATGCCTTACATTGTGTACTTCCTCAGTTTATGTCACTGTGTGAGGACTGGTGACTTAAATGGTCGTGGGTCACCACTGTCTGTGCAAAAATTAGTGTTTGTGTGTGCCATTCAATGCACTTCTTTTATAGCCTTTGCTCCTGAGTTTGAGTGCTACCCCTAGTGAAGATGGCTGCAGCTCCTTTGCTTAATGCATGTCCTGACAATGAAGCAGCCAAGTGTGCCAGATTAGTCTACAACTCAACACTACTCAACTATTGTCACAGAGGTGGGTATGTTGTGTGATGCACACAGCTAAGTTCTGATGTATGGGTCATTAATGAAGCATGGAGCCTGGATTACCACACACATTTTAGCTGGATAATAGTAGTAATCAAATACAGAGGCTCCCAGACAATTGAAAAGTTCACAGGTATTTGACTTCATCTGCATCAATTTCCATTGACTAATTGTTGCCCAGCACCATTCCACTAGATGACAATCTGTGATCTTTCCCTGTTGCAGTGGAACCTGGTGTGTGACCAGGCCTACCGTGCCAAGGGCTGCCAGTCAGCCTTCATGGCTGGCCTGATGGTGGGCACCACTAATGGGTCCACTGGCGGACAAGGTGGGCCGCCTGCGCACCATAGCTGCCTGCCTGCTGGTGCTGCTGGCCTGTTTCGGAGGCAGCATGGCCGCACCCACCTTTGATGTGTTCCTGGTACTCAGGTGAGGAACGGTTAGCAGACCAGGCATCCGTCCTCTGGCATCGGTTTGACATCTGCCCGACCGCTCACCACCGTCGTCGTTTCATAGGCCGCTGTCTGAGCACACCCCTGTGCTGTCTCTCCACCACGTGGATCAGGCTTGTTACCACTATGGTCGGAACTCACTGGGACACTGCTGGAGCTAGCCTGCCCATGGGCTGGGGTCGATGCTCGCCAGTGCTGAGGAGCTCATGCATCCCAGTCTGGGACGATCCATGGTTAGTTGCTGGCGTCTGTTGGCCCTTGGTCTTCCGGGTTTGCGGTGGGCGACCCTCGTCTGTCGGCGACCTGCGGGCACATCTGTGACATTTCTGTGTACATACAGCATGGTCTTACCCCCCACCGTGATCTCCGTCAATCTCTGTGTGCTCCCCTTGGGCTGTGGCTGTTACTTGTGTGTGGTCCACCGGACGTTTTCTTTTTTTCCTCACACGGTCCGCAACGCTGCTCAGGGAAGCTGCCGTAGCTGGTACGCGCGACTCTGCTTGTCAGTGCTTTCCCTCTGGCTCCCTCCATTGTGTTCTGCGGACGGCCTGGCATTGGTGCCCCACCCCCCACACTGTCCGCTGGTAACTCTCAAGCTAGCGAGACGTCGGAACGGGCATGCGTTGCCCATCAAGATGGGACTCCAACTGTTCATTTTGTGCAACTGTGATGACGCGCGTTACGATCGTGTCGATTCGTTCTGTTTTGGCGGTAGCTGGATATGCTATCCCTTCGTGGAGGCCTCTGTCATGCACGGATGGTCGCGTTGCGGGATCGGGATGGCCTGGTTTGGAATAACGAGGCACTTTGCTGAGTTTGAAGACCTTCTGTGAATCTGAATGATCCTGATCTGGAAAAGGAGGTCTATCTATGATCAGTAGACTCTGCTGCAACAGAAGGTTTTTGGATTGGGGGCCTTTGCGGGATCGAAAATATCCCTGTGTTGGTCAGAAGGCCCCAATCTGAATTGTCAATTGTCGATGCTTCTTTGCATGGATATGATACATGTAACAATGTATTAAGGAGATATGTATCCCCTTTCCCCCTTGAGTACGATACTTCCCAGAAGGTCCCCCTTGTGAAGGGGCTCCCTGTTGTCCGGGAGGCCCCTGAAAAGTTCTGCCTCCTATCTCAAAATCCTTGGCGCGCCCCTCACTCCGACTCACCTGGACATTGACGGGGAAACGAGCCCGCCTTGGCTGACGGCTCAATGAAAATTCGAACTGCATGGTGGCAGGGTCGGCACCAACTCCCCGCACAGTCAAACACAGATGGCGCAATATGACCTTTGAGGCCGACGCACCCTAAATCCCCAATCGTCGTTATCATCGTCAAACACAGATATCCATGCAGCGAGTTATCACTTATCGAGGTCACCTTAAACGCCAACGGCCATCTTGTTTCTGCTGATGGGAAATTATTTTTGGAGCCAGCTGGAATCGAGGCCTTGAATAATAGGTTGGCAATGTATGTATGTGTGTGTGTGATGGGGGGAGGGAAATATGGAAGAAAGACCATAAGAATAAACCGTAAATGAACTTCTGAGCTCAGATTCGCTCCAGTCTTGTACCATAACGCTGATCGGAAAACCAACTCCATGTATTGTCTGCAAAATTACAGGTGAATTGAGCCACGCGTAAAAGAGATATGTTTGTCATGTTCCCGGCATCTACACAGTCCAGCCGTGGTTTCCTTTGACTGATCTACTTCGTCCGCAATTTCTCGAGTGATCGCAAAACTGTATTTAGTGCACCACGATCGATTTTAAGTTCATAAGGTTCGCGTGATGCTCACGATTTTATTTGGGTGCGGCATAATTGGCTTCAGGTCTCGGGGATAAACGAATGCTAATGGGTAGCTGCAGACTTTGTATGACACGAGACGCCCAATACTGCCGCGCTGGCGCTTAAACGCTATTATCATGCATGGAAACGTTATCCAGCAGGTGCGAACAGGTTCGATTTTTCTTGCCATTTCCTCAGTTACTTTACGTTTTGCAACGAAATTTCAGAGGAGAAACATTCGGAAGAAAACAGCGTAAAACGCTTGTTCAGGCTGAAAGCCAAAGTAACGCCTTCACTTCAGGCTATTTGACGGTAATGCCGAGGCTAGTAATACAACTCAGGCCATAAATTTTAACAGATTTTAACATGGTCAGACGAAAATGGTAGCAAGCTTGCCCCCCTCCCGCCACAGTCACCTTTCTACAAATGTTCATCATAAGGATGAATATGTTTTTTAGGAATGGGGTTAATTAGTTTTGTTTAGTTCCGTGAAAAGGTTTGTCTGGTCTTCTCTTCCTTCATTTTCATTTTGATTTTAGATGTTTGCACGCCTTGCAGCTCTGAATTGTTTTAATATCATGCTGGCAACGTATTATTTTGTTCGCCAACAGTGAGCTCTTAGCAGCCCCCCCTCTCCCCACTGCAGAAATAGAACGATAAGAAAGGATGAGGGGGCATTGAATATTTTCCTGTTCTGCAAAGAACCGTTGCGCGTGTACAGCTGGACATTAGCTGAAGAAACCACTAGGAGGGCTGGTTCGACGATACATTACCAAATCCTTTGACCTAGCAAGCAATCACCTGCCGCTATTGGATTGCCATTGTGATTTGGACGGAAAATCTGTGGTTGCATGCGCCACGCCATTAAATGGCTTCCTTAAAAAATTCTATGAAATTACCCGCCACACTTTTAACACATAACATCGCAAGGCAGAGCAGTAAATGCTGTTCTATCGGAGTATGTTTATTGACCTGAAGTACACTCGAACATGGCTGTTTTCATCCACCCAGGCGAAATATTCGGTTCATGGTATTTATTTTCATTTTGATCAGAATGTGTTCTTGGGGGCAGGGTAATGTCTGTCACATCGGGGACATTACTTCCCCCCTCCCCCTCCCCCCCCCCCCCCCACCCTCCGCCCTTTCCCAGTTGACATGTCATCCGAGGCCTTGGTGCTCTGGTGAAATTAACGTGTCCTGAATTCCAGCCATCAATTTGGGCCTGACATGGTCAACAAATCGAGAAAATGCGCGTGCGCTGGCCTAACATATTTTTGTTTGTGCACAGCTTCCTGCTAAGTCTGGATCGCAGCCATGAGAAGTGTGAGATGGGATTTGTATTGAAACATCCAGAGGTGGTAGCGTCCAATGGTCAAACGGTCCAAAACTGCAGCACGTGCTTATAACATCAAACGTCCCATGTCCGTGGACTGGACAAATCATAACATTCAAGCTTGCAGCATCCAAAAATGCAACATCCAAAGTTCATAACGTCCAGGGTTCATGACGTCCAAAGGTTGAAGAACTACAGTGTCGATTAAAGCGTATCAACTGGACATCGTAATCGCTAGATGTTTTCAGCATTGGATGATGTGACTTTGGACGCTGCGAGCTCGTATGCTATGAGCTCCTCCCATAGGCCGGCATTGGACGCATTTGTATGTTATGAACGCTGGATGTTGCGATTTTGGATGATAATAGAAGCACTGGACGCTGCTATCTTAGACGTTGTGATGGTTCCCCGTAAGGTGCTTGTTCTTGTCCGTATTGTTTTCTGCCCTTGCACACGGTGTGATATGCATTCTGGGTGCTGTAGGTAGTATAGGTGTTTGTTCTGTATGCTTGTATTACTTATAGCCATTGCGTCACCAAAGCCTGACTGCACTGCTCCAGGTTGGAGATAAGACCCTTGTCTTGTCGCATGTTTGTCTGTGCAGTCGAAAGTGTCTGCCGGTGAATATTCCATTGAACGAATCCGGTGTCGACATGCTTGAAAGGCCCGCACGTTCTTGCGTTATGCATCAAAAGAACGCATTTTTACTTACGTTGTGCACCGAAAGCATGCGTATTTACTTACATGGTGTTTTGTAAATATGTGTGTTTACTGATGTTTTTGCATGAAGTAGGCGTATTTTTATGTTATGTATCGGAAAAACTACCAACGTTAGTTCGAGAGCATGGAATGCGCGGTCTGTGACCGTTCGCAACTCATTCCCAGTATCCCGTTGAAGCCAGATGATCTGTCTCTGTATATATCTGTATCTGTATATATATATATATATATTATATATATATATATTATATATATATATATAGGGTCGGGGAACACTTTCCTCTTAAGTTATTTTGATTTTGTCTATTTGAATAATAAAGCCATTGCTTAAATTGCAGGTTGCCCGCCAATACGTATTATCTCTATCATAGTCCTTGTTTTGTTACTTGAGTTCAGTGTTCTCGCTTTCTATACATTTATTTTATCGACATCTTAATCTAGCATTATCCCGTATCTCGCCGTCGGGTTTCCCATGTTTGTATAACCCTTTCGAATAGTTCCCGCGCGTTTTCAGTCTCGCCGGTTGACCCGCGGATTACCCACTGATTTCACTCGTTCCTGATGCAGTCGCGTGCTCCCCAACGGTTTGTTCCTGTATTCTAACCTGCCCATCACCCCGCGCCAGACCTTTCTTTCCTCACCCTGCGGGTTTGCTGCAGACTGCCTGCGTCTCTTCGTCTGCCTTCAAATGAACCCCTTCAAATTCAAACCATCCGCTGGCCCGCGCTTCACTGCCAGGTTCCTGTCACCCTCCATGAGCTGGTCGCTCCGGGCCGCGCCCGCCCCCTGCCACCCTGCCCCGTCCGACTCGACCCGACTGCTCGCTGACCGCCGGCGGCCGCCCCGCGACAGGTTCGTCTCCGGCTCTGTCACCATCGGCATGATCTTGTCCACGTTCGTGCTGGCCTCGGAGGTGGTGGGCGCCTCCCAGCGCGCCTTCTGCGGCAATCTGATGAGCGTCATGTTCGCGCTGGGCATCCCCGTCCTGTCGGCGGCGGCTAGCCTCATCCACAGCTGGCGCCACCTCTACTTGCTCTTCACGCTGTTCGGCTGCGCGTACTTCAGCGCTTACTTGTGAGTGTCTGTCCAGCGGTAGGCCTGCCCGGAAGGAATGCTCAGATGCCGCAGATGTCGATGTTGCGGCAGCCCGCTTGGATGCTGGGCGTGTAGGCGCAGGGCGTGAATTTTTCAACCTGATCTGTGTTAGTCGCCGTGCACTGGTGTGTTTGTACCAGCTATCTTGCGCCATGGCATGATAACAGATGTCATGATTTATGGAATGTCGTAATGATCGTTGTGTTTTGTATGACTGTAATGCACACACACATTGTGGATGGGATTCGGTGCAGTTCACAAAGGTTTTATGTACGTTGCGTCCAGTGATCATGGCGATTACCGGTGGTCTTTTGATGGATCCTTGCCCGACCCAGCTACCTGCTGGAGAGTCCCACTGGCTGACACTGATCCTCCCTGACCCAGCTACCTGCCGGAGAGTCCGCGCTGGCTGACACTGATCCTCCCTGACCCAGCTACCTGCTTGAGAGTCCCACTGGCTGGCACTGATCCTCCCTGACTCCCTGACCCAGCTACCTGCCGTAGAGTCCCGCTTGCTGACGCTGGCCCTCTCTTAACCCAGCTGCCTGCTGGAGGGTCCCACTGGCTGACACTGATCCTCCCTGACCCAGGTACCTGCTGGAGAGCCCCACGGGCTGACACTGACACTCCCTTGACCCAGCTACCTGCCGCAGAGTCCTGCTGGCTGACACTGACCCTCCCTGACCCAGCTACCTGCCGGAGAGTCCGCGCTGGCTGCTGCTGAAGGGTCGGGAGGAGGCGGCGCTGCGCGTGCTGCAGCGCATCGCCCGGTGTAACGGCACCACGCTGCCGGCCGGGCTTAAGCTGCGCTCGGCCGCGCCACGCGCTGCACCTGTCGCCGAAGGCGTTTGCTCCCTTTTCAAGTACCGCAAAGTGGCTGTCTGGACGCTGGTCATGATGTTCTCGTGGTGAGTGCCCTACCGTTGATGCTCTGGCGAGCTTGGTCGTGGCGGTTTTGTTCGTGTTGTTTTGGTTTTGGTGGATATCTCCGCCTCTAGATGAGAGCAGGATTCGCAGGAGCTCATCGAGCAGTCTGTAGTGGCAAAAGCTTTAGAGAACCACTAGGATGTATGATCTTGTAGCGTGCGATACTCACTAACCGCCTTCCGTGCGGGCTTCAGGTTCACCAACAACCTGTGTTACTACGGCCTGACGTCGGCTTCGGCCACCATGGGCAGCGACCGCTTCACGTCAGTGGCGCTGAGCGGCCTCATCGAGCTGCCGGCCTACGCCATCGTGATGCTGGTGCTGAACAGGTGGGCGCGCCAGCCCGCTCCGGGCAGCCGAGGCACGTCGACAGCCCGCTTCTGTGGTCGGGCGGCAGGCGGGGGCGGGAGTCTGTCAGCAGACGGACAGGACCGTCCGCAGCCTGTCGGTTGGTGTGCGCGTCCGCGTGCGGCGGAGGGGGGGGGGGGGGTCGGCCGTGCGGTGTGGCACCTGACCTCCCGGTATCGTGACTTGTCCTGCTGCGGGACGCGTGCCAGGGGCTCTTGTGGGCCCGGCCTGATGTGCCTCCTCGTCCTCCCTCCGCAAGCTGAACTTGTTGGTGTTGACCCGTGTAGATCTGAACTGACCCGTAGCGCGCCGCCGAGGGACACAGCCGTCTGTGCTGACCTTCGTTGCCCGGTCATTCCCCTGCCTCGCCCGGAGTAGCGGTTGGCTGATCCGTGCTGGCCGAATAACGGCAACATGTTGAGCGGCGTGGTGTGTACGCTGTGCTGAGCGCCGGCCGGTGTGCGCAGGGTCGGTCGCCGCACGCCCCTCTGTGGCTTCATGCTGCTAGGCGGCGGCTGCTGTCTGGGCATCATGGGCCTGCCGCACGGCGACGCCAGGCTCGCCCAGCTGCGCATGCTGCTCGGCCTGATCGGTGAGGGGCCAGCAGAGCGGTCACCACCACCGGAAGGGCCACACGAGCGCCAGGGGCACAGACCCGTGCAGTTCTCACATGTGTATCTTTTGGTTATTGAAAGCAAGCATGGCATCGCCGTGAATATTTGCGTTGGATAAGATGTACATGCCAGATGAGTGGCATGTACATCATGCCACATTATCACATTATCAAATCTGGAGAGGTAAGCGGGTCTATATCAGGTCTTTGATGGGAGGTTGGCCATCTGTCTTGGTCTACCCAGCTGTCTTAAATGTTGACAGGACCAGCTACTATACTATCTTGCATCATCTGCATCAGCTGTCCCCTCCCCTCCCCCCTTTCGTTTGGTGAATTTCTGAAATGAGCTTGTGTTGAGCAGTACTTGTTGCCCGAGCACTGGTCCCACCAACTGACCATGAAGTGGGCCCTGGTCCCTCCATCTGATTATGAAGTGAGCCCTTACCCTTTCATCTGACTGCGAAGTTCTCGATCAAACGAACAAGATTTTTGATGGGGCAAAAAGTTAACAAGTCGTAATGCTGGGAGCGGTCTGTCAGCCAGATGCGCCCAACCCTCGGACGTCACCGGAACCTCAGCGCGGTCGTGCTGCCACGGGCCGCGGGCCATCTTATTCTGGGGAAAATACTGAGCTCTTAAAGGGACTGGAGCCCATCACACCACGGATGGGTGAATACAACGTACAGGCGCTGTAACCAACTCAGCTGCCGGACCCACTCAGTCACAAAGATACCAACCATCATGAATCAGCTGTTTTGCGATCCATCCTGTTGAAAAAAATGCTCTTTTGGTTAAAAGTAGAAGGAACGTTTCACGTGTTTACGTGTATGTTTTGTGTCGCACGCTTGCGTTGCGTAATACCACACCAATATTGGTATTTTTGGTGATGACTAACCAGGCAGACGAGTCATCACTGAGCAGCCCGTACAGTTGCACTGTCCGCCGTCTAGATCAGAGCAGTGTGAGCACCGACTGATGGGTTCTTCGGTCTCTGCCTGCAGGCAAGCTGTGTGCGGCGGCAAGCTTCTCCGTGATCTCATCATCCACTCGGGCGAAATCTTCCCCACGTCTATCCGAAACACCGGCTTCGGTTTGGTCAACGTGTTTGCCCGCATTGGCGGCATCGTCTACCCGTTCATGGCCCTTCTGGTGGGTATACCCCGTCGTTGGCGTTTTCTGAGCTGTGACGAGGCCTTACGCCGTCCGACAGCTGATGGCTTTGCCGGAACTCAGTCGGGTTTTCAGTACTCGTCGGGCGAATGGTATAGGCACAGTTGCAGGATGGTGACTAGTGGAGGGCGTTTGTGATTAGTCAGCTGTTAACTAGAAACTCTTGTGTTGGTGTTTGCCCGCGCGTAAGAATGACTTGGTCGAGCCGCCTCCGGTCATGCGTCGTGGACAAGATTCACAATGGGCGGCACGGCTGCCTCTGGTCGTGCCGATGCGTGACCCCCAGGCGGCACCGGGTGCGGCGCTCAGACCTGACCCTGTGCCGGTGGTCGGTCTGGTGACTCCCACGCCGTCCGCCGCCCGCAGAACGACGTGATGGCCGACCTGCACTTCGCGGTGTTCGGTGCGCTGGCGGTCGGCTCAGGCCTGCTGAACCTGATGCTGCCGGAGACGCTGGGCCGCCCGCTGCCGGAGACGGTGGAGGAGCTGGCCGGCCAGACCGGCTCCGAGATGTACTCGCCGCTACGCCAGCTCGCCGACGACGAGGACGGCCACGAGCCGGCGGCGCACGGCGGCCGGCGGCGCGTCGTCAAGGCCGTGTGACGGGCTAGGGAGGCCTGTGAGGCCGGCCCCGGGTGACGGCGAGGCTCGCTCCGCCGACCGAAGAGTCGGCCGGTCGGAGTGGCGGCTGAGGAACCAAAGATCCCCTCCCCGACGGAGCGCGAAGGATCTTTGACGAGGGTCCAGCGATCAGCCTGATAGCTAAGCATTGGGGGTCTGTGTTGGAGGTCGATGTTCTCCCCGATCGAGAAGTAAGCACGTTTGGCGAAGAGTCTCCTATCCAACTGACATCGAAATGGGCCCACTTTCGGGGCCATTACTTGATGATGGTTCGTGGCTCATATATGAGCGTGTTTCTTTGGGAAGTTTTGCTGCGTGACGGATGCTAGATGTGCGGTGTTTATAGGTCAAGGCCGTTCTCCAAGGGGACCAACCATTTGCTGAGCTTCGTTTGCCGTCTGGCGGGGATTGATCAGCCAGACAAGTCGGGGAAGACGTGAAACCGAATCAGTGATCATATGTGCGGTGGAATCCCAAAACTGGCTCCTTCCGTGTGTAGTGGCGTCCAATCCTAACTCTTGGCACAGATCGACGAGCATGCTGTAGGTTGCATGGACAGGATAGAATAATGATCATTACATCCATGACACCTCAATAACGGACTGGGTCTGGAGCTGCTGTATGCTGGAAATAGAGGGATCGCCGTGATGAGCTAGGGTGGACAATAATCGTAACGAGCGTGACGGGTAATGATAGCAAAGTATTTCCACAAAAGGACCAAGTAGATCTAGGTGCCTGAGGCATGCGAGTATTTTTAGATATGCTAGATGAAACGTTGTCCTTCTTATCGTGAGTTCTTGCCTTTGGCTGTGAGCGTAGTTATTAGTATAAATTACCGCAAGAACTTATCCTTGCAGTGCTTTACAGCTATTTGATGATAGTTCATTGCCCTATTGTATCGTGTGAGTGGCTCGCTCTTGCTTGGAACAAGGGGATAAATGCTGCGTCCACGTGAGCTCCTCAGATTCCTCATGCGCGTCGGATTAGATGCAGAGTAACTTTCCGTTCATTTCTTGACCTGACGTCGGCAACTTATGTTCCTTCCCTGAGCCGTGGCGGGGAGGTCAGCCTGGTTGGTCGATCTGTTCCACTTGGCGTCTGCTTACCGGTCAGCGGTGCGGAGTATCGATCATGTGCTGACTTCTCTGCTGCTGTTTGAACCTCTGAATTGCCGACACAGAATCCCGCAGCGAAAGTGTGTGAACATCACACGTATGTTCGTGACGTGATGTGTGAAATCAAAATACGTCAGTGCGACAGCGTTTATCCGCTGGGTGCACGAATACCTGAGCTGGACTGGACACCGATGGTGGTGTGATTGGATGTCAGCAGCTTTCGTAATTGGAAAAGCTATATTCCAGTGGCTGGGCACCGCTCTTCCAACGCTGCTTCATAGTGCTTGCGGTAATTTAAGCTATGTTTGGGTGCATGGTTTCCCTCCCACTGTGGTCGTGTTCATGAGCTAACTATTTTTGGGTGCATTGCTTTCCATTGTGTTCGTTCTCGTGTGCTGAGTTAGCCATGGAGTGTATGCGGGCTTGTGGACAGCCGAGCAGCCGTTTTACATATTGTTTGCGTGGTGGAGGTATTGCGGACGTCGGGGTGTCCTTATAGGCCTGCTCTTGCTGCATCTCCATCCCCTGACTACCCGGACGGCTGCTAATGTATCGACACCGTCACCCGTGCGATGCCGTATCGTTGTAATCTTGTAGCAAGTGCCTTGCTGGTTCCAGGTGCGCTGCAACATTTTGTGAAACTGCTTTGCCCTGCAGTAACAACGAGCAATTGGCATATGGCTGTTACCACGCATAAATCGAGGGGCGGGATCACTGGACATTACGTCTGTGTTGCGCCGTGAGGTCTTCTTCCGTCCGTGGACTGGGCTGATTGTGTGCAGCGCTGCCTCCGAGGGTGGCTGACGCGGACGCCACGTGTTCCGCCGGACCGCGCGCTGTGCCGTGCTGGCCTCCAGGGGCTCCGATCGCGTGCGGTGGAGGCGCCCCTCCGATCCTGCAATAAACGGGCCGTCCGGCCGCGCAGCACGGCGTGTTTGGCGAGCGTCGGGCCGGCGGCGGACGACGGGCCCGGTCTGACCGGCTGGCGGGTCGGGTCGGCCGGACCGGTGCTGGCGGGTCGGGTCGGCCAGGCCGGTGCTGTTGGGTCGGGTCGGCCGGACCGGTGCTGTTGGCTCGGGTCGGCCGGACCGGTGCTGTTAGCTCGGGTCGGCCGGACCGGCGCAGTGGGGCCCGACTGGCAGTGCTGGTGTGGCTCCCGGTTCGGCATGTACTACGCGCTGGTATCATGACGCTGCTGGTGAGTGCCCCTTCTCTCCCTCCACGCGCCTGTTGGGAGGGGAGGAGGGTAGGCTGACGCTGCCAGGGAGTAGCAGGGAGCAGAGTGGGACCCCATCCTGCGAGCGCACGGCCCGGGAGCTGCCTTTACCTCGTGATGTGTTAAAGTGCTCGTGGTATAGCATGCTGACGCAACTGGGTTCAGTTGGCTTATGAATCGTTTGTGTCTCCGCGTAACGAGATTGCGTCCTGTCAGCCATTTGCAACACACTCCAACTCCTGTTGAAATGGGTTTCACATTTCCGAATTGGCTTTATTTGAAAGCACGACCTGGACTGAGCACAGGTAACTCCCTGCGCTCTTTCCATCGCCCGGAGTTGTTGCGCTCTTCGCCGTTGCCCCCGTGACCTGACCGCGCTGCATGCCGTCGCTGCGACTGGGCTGCGCCGTTTGCTGCCGTTCCCTTGATATGACTGCGCGCTCTTCAGCAGCGGTGTTCCCGTCACGTGACGGCGCGCTCCAATGCCGCAGGCGGGGCCGGCACGCGGCCAGACGCTGTCAGAGCGCATCCTGTCGCTGTTCTTCCGGCACACGTGCGAGGATCTGCGCCACTCGCTGTTCGAAGTGAACGCGCTCAGTGACTGCTCCGAGGAGCTCGGTTGTCCGCTGAACCAGCACTGCGAGCCGTTCACCTGCCACGGACTGTTTGTGCACAGGTGAGCCGGCTCCCCGCCGCTTGCCGCTGCCGTGCACAGCACGTTAGTGCGTGGACACGATCGTGAAATGCGCACGGTATGTGGACGCGAAAACGCGTCCACGGGCCACGCAAGGCCCGTGCAATGCGGCAAGAAAGTGGAAGGCCTTTTGAATACTTCAGCGGCTGGGTCGTTGTTATGTTTTGTTGGCCGGGCGAGGTTAGTGGATTTGAATGGACAGATGAGAGGTGTCGAGAGTTTCCCCGATGCTAAAGACGTTTTTGGCCTGTGTGCGACACTACAGAGAACAGGCGCATTCTTGGCCCAGCGCTCAGTCTGCCTCACCTCATCACCCATCCCCCACCCCTCATTCTAAGGGTCAGGAAACCCCTCCCGACTGTGAGTCTGTGTGCCCGCGCTGACAGTGTCTTCCGCCGTCCAAGGTGCGTCGCCAACTTCGCCGAGCATGCCGCCTGCCAGCGTGGCTCCCAGTGCAGCTCGAACTTCTGCCACCCGACCAGCTCTACGTGCGAGGCGCGCGAGGGCGCCTGCCCGGAGGACATGCTGAACGCGGGCGGCACCTGCCTCGGCCTCTCGCCGTTCCGCGCCGCCTCCTGGTCGGACGCGCGGCCGCGTGCCCGGCGCTGTTCGGCGCCGGCGCCGCGCTCGTCTCGCCGCAGTCGCGCGCCGAGCAGCAGAACCTGCAGACGTTCTTGGTGCTGCGCCGCGCCGCCGCCGAACAGCCGTACATCGGCGTCTCGGACACGCAGACCGAGGGCGTGTTCCGCTTGGACGCGGACGGCTCGCGCATCGACGACGGCTTCAGCGCCTTCGCGGCGACCGAGCTGGCGCGGAACGACGAGTGGCTGAGCTGCGCCACGCAGCGGCCGGTGAGCCTGCAGCCTAGCGAGAACGGCTGGGCGCTGAGCCGGTGCGACGCCAGCCGACGCTTCGTGTGCCAGGCGGACCCGGCGTTCGGCGCCTGAGGCGGTCGCGGCGAGCGAGGCCGGGCCGGCGCGGCGGAGGAGAGGGCTGCAGGAGCGGAGGCCGGACTGGGCACGGCGGAGGAGAGGGCTGCAGGAGCGGAGGCCGGACCGAGCACGGCGGAGAGGGCTGCAGGAGCGGAGGCCGGGCCTGGCGCGGCGGAGGAGAGGGCTGCAGGAGTGGAGGTCGGACTGGGCGCGGCGGAGAGGGCTGCAGGAGCGGAGGCCGGGCCTGGCGCGGCGGAGGAGAGGGCTGCAGGATGGAGGTCGGACTGGGCGCGGCGGAGGAGAGGGCTGCAGGAGCGGAGGTCGGACTGGGCGCGGCGGAGAGGAGAGCTGCAGGAGCGGAGGCCGGACCGAGCGCGGCGGAGAGGGCTGCAGGAGCGGAGGTCGGACTGGGCGCGGCGGAGGAGGGGGCTGCGGGAGCGGAGGCCGGACTGAGCGCGGCGGAGGAGAAGGCTGTAGGGGCGAGTCCGGAGTGCTGCGCGAGACGGGCTGGCTCGGCGACAGGCTACGCTGGCGAAGCGCAGGGCAGAGCTGGCACGGAGGGAATGAGAAGTTTCTGTGGAGACAAGCGGCGAGGCTAGGGATGGAGCTGTGAGGGTCGCGGTATCTGTTAACCTCCACAGTAAACAGTGGCCCTCAGGAAAGCGTGGACAGCGTTCACTGTGCTTGACATGAAGAGTCAGAACGCCGCCATGAACAAAGTGATATGTCACTTTGCAGCTTTCAGTTCTCTGGAATGCTGCTGGCTCCGTTTCGCCAATAATGACACTGTCACGTACATGTCTTAACAGTGGGCTGCGGCGTCTACCTCTCAATCTAACATGTGTCGCAAGTTCCAACTCCCGAGGCAACTAGTTCCGTTGCAGCTTCAGAGATGACAGCCGCCAACGTTTTGATCGCTGGCGGGATGTCGCTGGTCGGTGGCTGGCGCGGTCTGGGGACAGAGTCGTACGCATGGCCTTGTGCGCATGTGCATGTGCGTACCTGACTCGTTCATTGGGATGTGCGCCACGTTGAAGGTTTATACCATTTCACTGATATTGTTATTCGTGCGTCGAAGGCAACACGGCTTAGTTTATTCGTAGGGCAGAGGTGAATGCACTGTATTTGATGTTTTGTTCTGTTCCTGTGGTATGTGACATGTCGAAATGTGTATTTACCAAAACTAACTTAACGAGCACATCTCTCCATAGACGTCGGGCTATATTCAGACCTTTAGCTGACTCTGCACCGAGTCCGAATCGACCAAAGAACCAACGAAATTCGGACTGAAAAGGCATAATTAATTGCTTTATTTGAATGACTCAGAGCATAAATGAACCACAGGTTGCATAATATTCGCCGCTTATCACGCCCTTAACGACAGACTGCGTGTGACAGAGCACGGCGTAACAAAGCGAAGATTCCACGCGCAAGGAATCAGGCCCCACGCGGGGAGTATGTATGCGGAAAATAGAACGCGACAAATATCGTGAGCTGGGGTTCTTAGTCTGGCAATAGTCTAGCTTACCTGTGGTACCGCCAGCACACCGTCAAGTGAGCGGCGGCTGTGACAAATCTCGTTTCAAGCCGCGTCTGTGATCACTTGAGCCCACGGTATATATATGTATATATAATATATATATATATATATATATATATATATATATATATATGTCAGTGATCGCCAGGAATGGCGGCCAGCCGCCTTCGACAACGGTTTGATACAAATTACTGTGATTTAAGAAGCCGGTAGTGAGTGGGTCGTGAAAACGACAAAGGTGATTATCATCATTATCGCATCATGGTCACAGGTTTAAAGCAACTTTCCCGTGCATTTGTCCAACCTGTTGGCATCGGTCGTGAAAGACGTGTGACTACAGTATCTTCATTATCAGTATCATCTGCATGGCGATAAGCAGTTGTGACATGTTCTGTCTCCGCGCTCGTCCCACAACGCCCAAGAGATCTTACTGGTACAGGCATATGTGCAAATCACAAGCCTAAGAATGCGTGTAATGTCCGTGAAATCGGTTGGGAACGAGGGTGTCGCGGACTGCAGACCCCTATTCTAAAAACACTTTACAGACCGTTATTCAACCGTGGCGGCGTGCTACCCATTTTAAGTCAGCGGCATTTGGTGGGCCAACATTTCAGGTCGGCAATGGATTGCGTTTGGCTAAGAATAAAAACCCTGGATAAGCACCCTACGGCTTTCATATTGTCACTGTTGTCAAAGCTGCCAACGCCTGCACGGATCAGCTGCCCACCCTGCTAGCTCACTAGACCTCACATCTCGAGTCGATTTTGGTGTTACCAGCGCCCACGGCGTCGCTGGGTGTCGTTTGAGGCGCCCTGGCCCCGCTCCGACCGCGATCCCTTACCGGTGACGTCACCTGACAAAGCCCCGATCGCTGCCGGTGGGGGCCGGACCGCAGCGCCGATGTCCGGTCCCAGCCGCCGGATGGCAGGACCCGCCGGTCAGACCGGTTCCCGCTCGACGTTAGCAGGCCGCCGGGCGACCCAGCTCAGCGGAT